AACATTAAGTGAGAAAAAAAGGAAAAGAGGCAGTATCAGGCTGTCGATGTTACTCTGGATGCTGCCAAGGGAAGGCAAGAAATGAGAGGCATGAATAGTAAAAAGATGGGAAGGAATGACATGTGGATGCCCTCTAGGCAACAAAGCAAACACGTAATAAGGATTAGTAAGCAATTTCACTAAAGGGGCCAGAGCCAAAATATACAAAATTAACAGGTTACTTATACACCAGCAATGACCAGACAGAAAATACAATGGAACTCAATGAAGAAAACTATGAAACCTCACTGAAAACATTAAGAAAAAGACTTGAATAATTGGAGAGAGACATTCTTGGATAGGAAGACTTACTATTGTTAAGAAACAAGCTACGCCAAATTAAGCCATATGTTTAATCTAATTCCAATTAAAATCAACGGGTAGGGGCTTGGCAAAACCATTATGAATTTATCTACAAAAAATGTGCAGGAACAGCTGAGGAAATTTTGAAAAGAGACTGATGATTGTCATTTTGCTGAACCAGATATTACAAAGTATTGCCGTACCAAATGTCGCAGAGTGGGGAAGGGGAGGAGGGAGAGAGGGATGAGGCTGTTCTCATCCGAGTCTGGGACCACGTGAATGATCTCGATGCCGAGCTCTGTCATTCAGTATTGTGCAGCCAAAGCTTATCAAATGCCTGCCAAGTGTCAGGCAGGACGCACCCAGCAGTGGACAGGTCAGCTTCGGTCCCCACCCTCACCCTAACGTATGTTTGGACTCAAAAATGGTCTCAACAAATTAAAAAAAATAGTATCAAGGATCTTCTCAGATCATAATGGAATAAAACTAGATATCAATAATAAGAGGAACTTGGGAAACTGTAAAAATACACAGAAATTAAATACCATGCTCCTGACTGACCACTGGGTCAAGGAAGAAATTGAGAAAATAAAAACTTTGCTGAAACTGATGAAAATGGAGACGACATGCCAAGACCTATGGGATACAGAGAAAGCAGTGTCAAGAGGGAAGTTTAATAAATGCATACACATCAAAAAAGTAGAAAGATTCAAAATAAACAACCTAATGATGCATCTCAAAGAATTAGGAAAACAAGAACAAACCAAACCCCAAATCAGTAGAAGGAAAGAAATAATAGAGATCAGAGCAGAACTAAATGAAATAGAGACCATAAAACAGTACAAAGGATAAATGAAACAAAACATTGGTTTTTTTGAAAAGATAAACAAAATCAATGAACCACTAAATATACTAGCCAAGAAAAAAGAGTAAACAAAATCAGAAAAGGGAGTTATTACAACTGATATTACAGAAATACCAAAGATTATCAGAGACTATTCTGAACAACGGGATGCTAACAAACTTGAAAACTTAGAGGAAGTGGATAAATTCCTGGACACATATAACCCACAGAGACTGAATCAGGAAGAAACAGAATACCTAAACATAACCAGGAATGAGTAACGAGATTGAATCAGTAATAAAAAATCTTCCAAAAAGGAAAAGCCCAGGACTGATGGCCTCACTGCTGAATTCTACCAAACTTTCAAAGAAGAATGGAACTAACACCAATTCCTTCAAACTATATAAAAAGTTCAGAAGGAGGGAATTTTCCCTAACTCATTCTATGAGGCCAGCATTACCCTGATACCAAAACCAGACAAAGACACAACAACAATAACAACAAAGAAAACTACAGGCCAATTATCATGGGTGAACATAGACACAAAAATCTTCAACAAAATACTAGGAGACTAAATCCAACAGCACATCAAAAAGATAATACACCATGATCAAGTGGGATTTAACCCAGGGATGCAAGGATGGTTCAATATACGCAAATCAATAAACACAATACATCGTAATCAACAGAATGAAGGACAAAGCCATATGATCATCTCAATAGATGAAGAAAAAGCAGCTGATAAAATTCAATATCCCTTCATTATAAAAACTCTCAACAAACTAGGCATACAAGGAACCTAGCTCAACATAATAAAGACCACATATGACAAACCCACAGCTAATATCATACTGAATGGTGAAAAGCTGAAAGCCCTTCCTCTAAGACCTGGAAAAGACAAGGATGTCCACTCTCACCACCCCTGTTCAACAAAGGACTGGAAGTCTTAGCCAGAGCAATGAGGCAAGAGAAAAAATAAAAGGCGTCCAAATTGGAAAAGAGGAAGTCAAATTATGCCTCTTTGTAAATGACATGATCTTACACCTAGAAAAATCTAAAGACTCCACCAAAAAAAAAATCAGCTTTGATAAATAAATTCAGTAAGTTAGATACAAAATGCACATACAAAAATCAGTAGCATTCCTGTACCCCAATAATGAAGCAGTTGAGAATGAAATCATGAAAGCAATCCCATTTACGACAGCTGCAAAAAAATCCCCATAAGAATACATTTAACCAAGCAGGTGAAAGAGCTCTACAAGGAGAACTGCAAAACACTGATGAAAGAAATTGAAGAGGACACAAACAAATGGAAAGATATTGCATGCTCATAGATTACAAGAATATTGTTAAAATGACCGTACTACTCAAAGCAGTGTACAAATTCAGTATAATCGCTATCGAAATACCAATGTCATTTTTCACAGAATTAGAAGAATCCAAAAATTCATATGGAACCAAAAAAGAACCTGAATAGGCAAAGCAATCCTGAGCAAAAAGAACAAAGCTGGATGCATCACACTACCTTACTGCAAAATGTATCACAAAGCTGGGCGTGGTGGCTCACACCTGTAATCCTAGCACTCTGAGAGGCCGAGGCGGGAGGATTGCTCAAGGTCAGGAGTTCAAAACCAGCCTTAGCAAGAGCGAGACCCCGTCTCTACCATAAATAGAAAGAAATTAATTGGCCAACTAAAAATATATAGAAAAAATTAGCCGGGCATGGTGGCACACGCCTGTAGGCCAGGTACTCGGGAGGCTGAGGCAGGAGGATCGATAGAGCCCAGGAGTTTGAGGTTGCTGTGAGCTAGGCTGATGCCATGCCACTGTACCCTGTGCAAAGAGTGAGACTCAAAAAAAAAAAAAAAAAAAAAAAAAAAAAAAAAAACTATCACAAGGCTATAGTAACCAAAACAGCATGGTATGGGTGTGACAGACAACACAGAGACCAATGGAACAGACTAGAGAACCAGAAATAAGTCCACGTATTTGCAGCCAACTGATTTTGAACAAAGATGCCAAGAACATACATTGGGGAAAGGACACGTTTCTTCAATAAATGGTGCTGGGGAAAATGGATATTCAATGGCGGAGAAGGAAACTGGTCCCCTATTTCCTGCCATATAAAAAGTAACTTGAGATGGATTAACGCTTAAATGTAAGACCTGAAAGTATGAAACTACAAGAAAGAAAACACAGGGAGACTTGAGACTATGGTTTAGGAAAAGATTTCATGGCTAAGACCTTAAAAACATAGACAACAAAAACAGAAACAGACAAATGGGACTATGTTAAGCTAAAACGCTTCTGTCAGGCCAGGAAACCATCAACAGAGTGAAGAGACAACCTGTTGATGTGGAACATATTTGCAAACTGTTCTTTTGCAAGGGACTAATATCCAGAATACACAAGAACTCAGGAAGTAAAATAAAACTAAAAAATTAAAGTGAGAAGCATGATAGACATTTCTCAAAGAAGACATAAAAAGGCCAACAGTTATATGGAAATGGCCACTATCACTGATTATTTGGGAAATGCAAATCAAAACCACAATGGGATATCATCTCACCCCGGTTAGAAGATGGCGCTGTACGAAAAAGACAACGAGAATAACCAAACGCTGTGAGCTGCTGAGGAAAGGAATCTGTGATCTTGT